ACTTTTTAAATAATTTTATAAAGGAAAGCAATGAAATAGATTAGCGTAATTAGGGCACCTGATGATGGCACTATGTTGCTGAAACATGTCATGAAGTAATGGGTGAAATTGAGTGCACTACAAGACGGCAACTGTATACATATCATGGAAGAAAATCAGTGCAACAGGATGCTAAAATACAACATTATGAAAAACTCATGTATAACCACTTCCAAATATCAAATAAACCTGATGAGGCCCAGGAAATAAAACATGGGCATATACATGCATTCACTTTTGACAAAGAATGCACACAGATGTACATGCATTATGTAAACATGGCACATATGGCACATAATGTTGATTTGGTACACATTATCTTGTTTTACTATAGTGTAATTTTATTGTAGCAAACAAATTTTCAAAGTCTGGTGAATTTTCCTGACATATCACTAAACCACAAGAATCTTGTACAAAACAAAATATGTTAATTGAAAAGATTCTGGGATACAACTGACACATAGTTAGAAGCAGCAAGGTCAGAAATTGTCTGAAAATTGCTACATGTTTTATTTTAAATATTTCTAGTCTCAAGAAGGCATTGCAGTTCTCCATTTAACACACTATAAGAGAAACTATATTGTCATAATTAAAACAATCATATACTACGTACAATAAAAAGTGTTTACAAATTTTTCAAAATCACATGCTCTGCTTTACAAGAATTCACAACATCAATTTAAAATGAAACGATGTCTCACTGGTAATCGCCTCTTTTTTGAAGATGAAACTCCTTTTTTTGGCTTGATTCTCAGAAGTGTTGCTTCTTCTTCATTACTGATATCTGATTTCAGATTTGGTGTTTCATCTTCAGAAGCAGATGATGGGATCACTTTTTCTTTCCATTCCTTCTTTGATTGTTTGTTGGTTTGTCTTCCATATACATCAAGCTGTTCATCTGGAGATGATGATGGCACAAGTGTTTCATCATGCTCTTTTCTGACAACTTTTCTTGATGGTGTGAAGAGACACTGTGATACTTTATTAGTTTTTTTGTAAGTTTTACTTTTTGTATTAAATTTCTCACCATCATTAGCATTGCTACATTCGTCTTTTCTGGAATCTAAAACAAGGTTTTCCATGTGTGTTATCAAAGCTTCATCTGAATTTTCCTTTTCTGAAGATTTGCATCGATCTGATTCTGAGGCATGACTACAATCAGACTTTCCTCTACCTCTTGTCTTTCTTGCAACCTGTGAAGAATCAGATGTTTTCTTGACAGCTTTCCTTGATGAACATGCCTGTTTCCCAGCAGCCTTAGCATTTTTTTCACTCATAGAGTCATCATCCTTTGGTCTCCTTACAACTGCTTCTTCATTCAGAACCTCTTTGAATGTTTGGCTTCTCTCCTTCATCTGAGCTTTATTATTCTGTCTAGAATATGTCCTCAATGATCTAGGAGCTTTCAGTTCAGGTGCATGGATATTACAAGAGTTTTCTGATGTATTTGGCTTTCTATTTAATTGACCTGCTTGTTTTGAAACAGGTTGAGACTCTGTGGTTTCAAACACTTCATTATTAATGTCATTAATGGATACATCCAATCCTTGCAATCCAAGATATATGAAATTTGTCTCTTCATCAACAATTACATTTGGAGACAAAGTTTTCTTGTTTCTGACAGAGGTATTTTCTTGTTTCCTGTTAAAAGAAACCTGATGGATTTCAAAATGGTTACCAGGACTATCAATCCTGAATTCAAGCACTTCACATACACTAGAAAGTGATTCATGCTCAGATACCCCATGTTTTGAATGGGTCTCCTTTTGAGATGTTTTACTTCTCAAAGCTCTACTTGATTTCTGTGCCACTCCTGAATTGCTAGCTGGAAGTTTTTCTCTTTGAGAAACGGCTGGAGAATCCTCAAAAAAAGTCACTGTTTTTGATGCTTTCTGTTTATGAGCACGAATTCTTGTTTTTGTGACAGATCTTCCATTTGCTGTTCGCTTATTTTCTTTCCCTGGATCACCATTCTCAATCTCTGGTAAGATCAGTTTTCTTGGCTTTATTTTAAATGGAGAATGATTGTGTTTCTTGATATTGCTAACAGAAAGAGGAAGGCGTACACACTGGGACAATGAACTGGTATTTAAGGGTGTCTTGATGGTTGCATCAACAACTTGTCTAGGTGTTTCTTGTACTTTCAGATCACATTCTTCTTTGTCTGGGGAAGGAAGAAAGAAAACTAATTAAAAACCATGAAATTGCTACAGAAAGAAAATGAATAACATTACAGTCTCTCCTTGGCTAACCAAGCTCCATAAGCAGTCACTGAACTGGTTTACATTCATCAACAAACAAAGAAGGCCCTTTTCTACTTTCTGATATCTGTTGCACTATCCACTGTTCCAAAAGTTGCAGTTAATATTGTATTACTGTTAATTTCTCAACATGACAACACAGTCACAAACTTCAAAATTCCTTGCATTCCCTGGTACATCCAAAGCCATTCAATACAACTCAAGACACACATACAAGTACCTTTCAGAAAAGACACGCGAGGTGAGATTTGAGGTTGTTATGGCAGTGACTATGAAGGGCATTATTTTCTGGGATGTGATGCTGTGTAGTCTGGTAAACATTTACTGATGTGTTCAAAATCATATCTTTATCTGTCTGTTGTTTTTATTTTTATTTATAACAAGAATTTGTTCTTGCACTGCCTTCAGTCAAAGCAGCTTGCTGCTTAAAATGTATATAAAAGTATGCACTCTACGCAACAATAATCTGTATTTAAAACGAAGTAGACGCTATTGTATCAACATTTTGTTTTTATTGACGCTACACGTTTTGACCCTTATACTGGGTCATCATCAGGCGTACAGTGATACCAGACTCAGTTGCTGAAGCTATTGAAGAATGAGATGTAAACTGTTAGATGCAATTCAACATCTGAGTCTGGTATCATCTACTTTGTTTTAAATACAGAATATTGTGTACACTGTATACTTTTGTATACATTTTATGTACCTTGTTTATGATACACAACAAGATGCATAGTATTAAGCTTGCTGCTTGCTTGCCTGCCTGGCTTACCCGTTGATCAGAAGAAGGCAGTATGTCCTTCTCTGAAACATTAGTAAACTTCTACCAGACTAAACAATATACAGAACATAGTACTCTTCTGTGCTAGAGTTCTTCCCTCACAGTTTTGCAGGATAGCTGTGCTGATATTGTTAACAGCAAGTTAAGAATTATCACAATGCTCTCTTCTCCAATGGTAAACTGTTCATAACAGGTTTCATGAAAATCAGGAAATTGGTGTCTATATTACTGATGTCAAAATTTGAGGTGAGGTGAACAGAGACACACAAGCAACAGAGTGCAATTTTCTTTCCAAACAGCTATTTGTGTGGTGGCTGGTGTGACAGATTAACTATGTCTGTCAGACCCAATTGAGCAGGTGTCGTACCATCCTTTCCCCAGAAGTCAAAAACATATTCTTTAAGAATATTAGATGATGGACAAAGCCCAGAAATTCAGTAACACCAACAATTCCTAGCTGCGAACATCAATGAAAAGCCTATACATTTTCAGATGAGACAGTGCATCAGATATGTTATGATGCCCTCTGCTTCATACTCCAAGAGAATACAGTAATTCACTTACATTTCTTTGGCTCTGATGCAGAAGCTTGTGCTTGTTCAATACAAAATGCCTGGTCCATTACATCAACTGCAAGGTGCGGATGTGCCAGCTTCAACGTCTCTACCTCTTGTAAAGCCTCTGCATTCAGTTTCCAAGCTTGGGTATAGGAGCTGCTTGCAGCCAAGAAATCTGCATAACCTCTTGCCACTTGAACACGACCTGAGACACAATCAAAAAACTTGTTTACACAGGGTTCATTCAATTACTGCTGAATACCCTTTGAAAAGTACTTCCTCTAATATCCAGTTTCCTTAAAATTTGCCTTCTCTTCGTTTCGCACAAACAATTTTCACAATTTTTTCCCTCCAGGCACCTGATGGGACAGCTCTTTAAATCAGGCCATTAAATCCATTGTTCCTTCAGTATACATTAAATGGGACTTTTATTGTACAGAACTATAAGGCTTGTTTTGGACTTTATCCATCGTCTGGTATATATAAGACAAAAAACCAGACAATGGATAAAGTCCAAAATAAGCCTTATAGTTCTGTACAGCATACACAATCATCAGAATCTGTTCAAGGGAATTTTATTGTTAATAAGTAGGATCTGAGGTTCTCACAGCGGTGGTTATGAAGAGTTCTGTCTTCTGGGATATAGCGCTATGTAGGGTCTGAGGTTCTCACAGCTGTCTTCTGGGATATAGCACTCCGTAGGATCTGAGGTTCTCACAACGGTGATTATGAAGAGTTCTGTGCTCTGGGATATAGCGCAGTGTAGAATCTGAGGTTCTCACAGCGGTGGTTATGAAGAGTTCTGTCTTCTGCGATATAGCAATGTGTAGGATCTGAGGTTCTCACAGCAGTGGTTATGAAGAGTTCTGTCTTCTGGGATATAGCGACGTTCTCACAGCGGTGATTATGAAGAGTTCTGTCTTCTGGGATATAACGCTGTGTACGATCTGAGGTTCTCACAGCGTTGATTATGAAGAGTTCTGTCTTCTGGGATATAACATGTAGTCTGTTGAAACTGAACCTGCTTCATGTTAGTTTCTTGCCTGGCTTACACTTCAGGCCATAAGGGAGAGGTAAAATGTTCCTCTAAAACATCAATTTACTTTCAATGGACTACATTCTGTTATACCCCAAAAGATGGAACCCTTATTGGTAACAAGTCTGTCAAATTCTTGATATATGGTTCATACTATAAACAGTGATAAGATGAAGAATCATGGCTAACATTACCAAGTTTCAGAGGGTGAAGCAGAAGTAGAAAGCAATCACTGCAGTCTCCCTGACCCAGCACAAGTTGATGCACCTCAGAGCTAAGTTTTCTGATGAGCTCAAGTTGCTTATAAATGAGCTGCTGGCACAGTTGCAGTCCACCCTCAAAGAACTCCAGCGCTTCCTTTAGTTCAGACTGAATATTGTACACCTGAGCCTGACAACGTGGAAGTGGAAATTATTGGTAGTTAATTTCAGATTATGATAACTCAGAATCAAGTGTTTAAAATTAGAATTAAAAACAGGATGCAAATACAATTAATAATGCAATGAAATGCATTTCCCCACACCCATAAATTAGGGAAATGAAGAGATAGTACACAAGAATTTCTGGGAAGAACTTTCTGTGTACATTCCTTGAAATGTTTGATAAATCTAATAAAGCCATAGGCTGTATAGATTAATCACTATACAATGTAGTGGCGGTAGGTGGCATGCTTCATGTCCAAAATCCAAAATACAGTAACTCTGTGTCAAACTGTAAGAATGTGGGGAAACGTACCTCCAAACTGCTTATGAGGAAGTTTTCTTGATGCCCAGAGGCAATTTTAGGATTCCTTTATCTGCACAGTTTTATCTTATACACCAATTCTTGCAGTAAAATCTTGAACTTACAAGAAACAAACGCCTCTTTTTATAAAATGTTATCGTTCGTTATACCTAACCTGGATACAGACGGCATTCAGCGCCAGAGTTTGCAGTGCAAGAGTGTTGCACATATGACACTGGCAGTCAGTTGGGTGTTTCACAAAGCTTGGAAGAACAAACACAAGTTTGCGGAGATTAGGTGATCCACATGGACTTCTATTGCGCCAAGGAACTTTTGGGATATCCCTGAATTCTGCTATCCTTGCAGACTGCAAAATAATTTGATGTAATGAAACATTTACACTATTTGTGATTACAGAACCCTTTAGCATTGACTCATTACACTTTTATACATTTTATAACTAGTTATAAAGTACTAGCAATCAGAATAGAGGTAGATGCGGCAATTTGTACACATCAAAAAAAATTATTTCTAAAGTTATTTATTCACACATATTCTGTACCACATTGGGACTTTAACCTTTATCACCCTGGAATAGATGATTTTAAATCACATGGTACTGGGGGGTTGGTGGCCTGATTCTAATTTACAAGGGAACCACTCGAGACATCATGCTGAAACTTAATATGAGATTGTGTGCATTAATGCTACCTGTCAAGTAATGATTCTGTGCAAAATTTCAGTTGCCCATACACACTGTTTCAATAAAATAGGTTAGGACATGTATACACAGCATATAAATTCTGGCATACTTGCTTTATTTATCTCAGAAACACTGACACATGTCAAAAAGTGTTTTGGGCATAAAATATGTGTTCCATTTCTCCCTACATTCATTCAAATCAGTCTTTGCCCCATAACATGTACTGAGTTGCAGCCTACACAGTCACTGCCACAAGAGCCTCAAATATCACAAGACACCTGGCACATTCCTTATAATTTACTTTTCCTTTCTGGGCAAGGCTTGTGGCTTTCTTTTTCTCTTCGCTACAGACATGAAACTCTGAACTTGTTAATCTCAGAATAAAGTTAAATTCCGAAAGTTTACACTATGACCGCCTCTGTGTTCTAGTGGTCAGAGTTTCTGGCTACAGATCCAGAGATCCTGGGTTCGATTCCCGGCACTACCATATTTTCTGAGAAGTAGTGGGTCTGGAACAGGGTCCACTCAGCCTCAAGATGATAACTGAGAAGCTACTTAAACAGAAAAGTAGTGGCTTTGGTCTAGAAAACTGAAATTAACAGCCATTGGGATTCGTTGTGCTGACCACGACACCCTCTATCCGCTAAAGTTGGCATTAACTACACAGACAAGCGGTGATCGTTCAGTCGGTATAGTTGGCTTGCGGACTAAAGCCACAGAGTTTGTTTTGTTTTTACAAGAAAACTTTGAAATATAAATTTTACATCACTTACTCTCTCAAGAGTCATTTGTTCTAATTCATGACAGCGTTCTGAGTCTGCATCTATCTTCCGATTCTTGCTGGCAATGTCATATGGCTGGAACCTGCTCTCTAACTGAAGCAACCCTTCCATGCCTTGAAGCTTCACTTGGCAGTCATTTGCATTGCAACACATCGCATCAACTTGTGCCAATACATTGAGGAACTGTGCTGTCCTACAGAGACGATAAGGATAATTTGATATGTAACATATAAGTCGAGAGCAATGTTGTTGGGCAACCACGAAGAGATTTCATTAATATCATAGACTAGAGAACTCAGATTCAATCAATTAATCAATTTATTTGCTCCAAGAATCCATATTTGGAGATACGATCTCTGGATACAGAGCAAGTCAATAACTACATATTAATATAACACACATATCGTACATGAGTCAACAATACTATAAAACTTAACTACCTACAGATTTCATACACATCAGTCCTACAATATATCATCCCACTTTCAACAATTCAATACCAAAAGAAACCCAACATCCAACATTTTTTTATGCATTAAGTGAGGACAAGATATTTGTCATAACATAAAACCATAACACACTCACTTCAGAATTAAAGGGACATAAATTCATCAATGGAATAATTGGAACATTTCAACAGAAAGGATTTTAAGTCCCTCTTAAAAGACTTAATTTTTTTTATTTTATCTGCTCAGGGAACTTATTAGACAAGGTGATACCCATATTTTTTATGCTCTTTTTAAAAAGAACTGTATTGCAATGATTTACATGTAAATTTAGTTTTCTATGCATGTTGTAATTATGGATGTCCAAATTTTTTGCCATACAGTCTTTATATTTCTTAATAAAACATATCACTTCAAGTATGTATAGCGCAGCCAATGTTAAAATATTATAATCCTTAAAAAATTGTCAGCATGACGTTCAATTATTAACCCCACCGATAATTTGAAGGACTTTTTTTTTTCAGTTTAAAGAGTTTGTCAGATTCATTATCCCCTCCCCATAATATAATACCGTACCGCAGACAAGACTCAAAATTTGAAAAGTAGATATTTCTTATCATATATGGGTTCATAGTTCCATATTTAAGAGCCAGTCATATGAAAGCGGTCTTACTTCCTCTTGTCTGTTGAAAGACCTGTGTTACTTGTACCTTTCCAATAACTCCTGTGTAGATATTTTCAGCTGATTAATGACTTAAAACTTTCTTTGAATTTTAAAATATTAAGAACATAATTAAAAAAGTATAAAGAGGGTCAAAGCCAAAGCACAAATGGATAGTCACTAGTTTCCTGACTGAATTGTTTCTATGGACAGGACACTATGTAGATGGTTTGAACTTTAAACTTTTATGAAAGTTTTAAGGTTCAAGTTTACATTTAAATTTAAAGTTAAAAAAAGAGCCTAATCTTTAAAAAAACAAAAACCACTTCACTGGCAGAGAGGAAACCCTCATTGGAACTGAGTTTAAGAAAGATCTGCTTGACATTGGACAACAGGAATATCAGTTTACACAAAACTTCCAGTAGGAACATGTTCATGTTTCAGTTACAGATTTTCATGAAATTTAAAACTGAAGCCTTGTAATAAAGCCCTAATTCACACAATTCTTCTGAAGCAAAGTTGACTAAACTATCATCACCTGAAACAAATTTCAGGTCTTGAATTTAACAAGTTGTTATATTATATTTACACATTTTGATGAAGTTTGACATTGCAACTTCTCAACAGACTCTAAACCCAAATTTAGTATTGCAGCATTCTCTTGCATATGGTTCAATATTTAAATGTAGATCAATAAGACAGTAATATTTCCCATGATAATTAATCTCCATTACTCATCACATAAACAACACCTACAAGATCATGAAATCAAAGAAAATGTGTGTGAATTATAAAACGAAACGCTATAAGCATTTCAAACTTACCTAGTAGCCAGTCCCAGCTTCTGAGAAAGAATAAGGTCTCCTTTCATAAAGCAACGAGCTTCACGTGGCCAGAAAAGTTCCAATGTCAACTGGCCCAACCACAGAGATATCTCCAACATTAAACTTAACACTTGAGCATTCTCTGCTGGTGTCACTGTAATAATAAACATCAAACTGCAAGTAACATACTTCATGCAACACTATAATCACAACAAATCCTGTAGTCTCATATTGAGTCCTAAAGGAAAAGACTGCCATTGTCTCCTACACAGAGACTTATTTCTTACAAATATTCTGCTAGGTATGTAAGAATTTATGAAACTACTAGTCTAGGGTCAAGAATTTTCTCCACATCATCCAAACCGGCTCTGGGGCCCAATCAGTCTCCTGCCCAGTGGGTATCAGAGGCGCTTTCCCCAAGTGTAAAGCAGCAGGGGCATGAAGCTGACCACTCACCTCCAGCTAGTGCCAAAGTCAAGAAAAATATAGATCTATACATCCACTCCCCCATATGTCTTCATGGTATAGTGCTTAATTAGTTAAGCACAGGGACAACTTTACCTTATACCTTTCACAGTTGTAATGCCATGTAGTTCAGAGGGAGCTAACCTTTACAGAGGAACGTATCACCTCCATCTTCAGGGTAAAAGAGTAAGCCAGGCAAGAGTGCAGCAGAAGCAAATGACAAGTTCATCTTGTCACTTGTTTCTGCTGGCTCTGTCTCTACTTTCAGAGCCAAAACTTCTGTAAGCATATACCTGACAACACAACATCACTTCCCAGAAAACAGTAATCTTCATGGTCTCCATCACAAGAAACTCAAATCTCATATCCCACTTACTCCCTGTTAACATTATTCACTTACTGACATTTTTTGGTTCCCCAAACTGAAAAGCGCCCAAAAGGAAAGAGATTTCAGAAAATGACAGAAATTATCTGGTATGCATCACAGGCATTGAATCAGGAGATCATTTTGAAGGGGTAAATATGTAAGTGACTTGATTTCATTTAAAACATGTGCATGCATTTGCACTCACACTCACACAAATAAAAAAGTCCCAAAACTTCACAATCTGCCCTCACATGCTTTATATTATCCACAAGCTGAATGCTGGCTAAGTTTCTTGCACTTTCTTGTAAGAACACCAGGAAAATTAAGACAATGCCATTTATTCTTGGTTTACTTAGTGACACTTTCAGTAGCTTAGATTATTTAGCAAGAACACCAGGAAAATGAAGACAATGTCATTTATTCTTGGTTTACTTAGTGACACTTTCAGTCGCATAGATTATTTAGCATTGGCAGATAGGACTAATAAATAATGAAGTGGAGAAAATGTGGAAGAAAGCAGTCTTGGCTTAGTTTCACACACTATCCTGGTATTGGTCTGGAGAGACTGAGGAAAGCCATGAAAAAGCTCGTGAGGATAGTCAGTCTCCAAGCCAAGCATCATCCTTATTATTAAAGTGCCTGTCAATATTGCAAAAATATTTTTTTAATACAAAAGACATCTTAAATATGTAAAACGTGTTTAGATGTCTTCTATATTTAAAAAAAATATTGTTACATTATTGACGGGTGCTTTAGTAATAAGGATGATGCCTCAATGCAACGGGATGCTGAAATATAAGAAATTAATATCTAAGCCAAGATTTGAACACAAAACCTCACAAACTGAAAGCATGGATGCCAGCTGATCAACTGTGATGTCCTTACTTTACAATTGCATTACACTGTGCAGCCTTACTTCTGACTTGCTTGAGGAGAGACATGGCTTTGCGGTATGTGGAAGTTGCTTCACTGAAGATATCCATCTCACTCTTGCTTGGCCAGGTCACGATGTGGGGGCGTGGCAAGCATTTGCACTGGGAGATTAGGAATACCGTTTGCACATGAAGTATACTCTGTGCAAAATGTTCAATGTTTTCTTGTTTAGTAAACACCACCAATTTCTCCATATAATCACCAATCTCCATAAACTGAAAGGAAGAACTAGAAATATGATGACTTCATTCACATGTCCAAAATCAGCAACTTCTAATTTAAGCTGTAAGTCTTATACTTTCTTGCTTGTACTTAGAAATCTTTTACTTTATTTAACAATGCTGTCAAGATCTTACGTTATATAGCAATAAATGTTGGGCTAGCATATAATGAATAGAGAAGGAAGTTGAACAAAGAGGACATGGCATAATTTAAGGTACTATCCTGGCATATACTTGGAGAAACTGAGGAGAACCAAGTCAGGATAGTCAGGGACAAGCTCATATTTGAACAAGGCCATCTCCTGGATACAAGCTATAAGCATTGCCGCTTGAGACAACCTGCACAAATCAAAATGGAAACAAGATGTTCTGGGTAGAAATCCCAATGTTTACAAGCAGTTTTCTTCAAATGGTTCAATCTATGTAGTGAGTCCAGCACAAATATACATTATTAATTTATCTAAATCTCCAAGTCCCTGTTTTAGGCTTGAGTCCAGCCTGTGCTATGATGTGACTTGAAATTAGCTTGAACTGCTCACCTACCCATAACATTCACTGACATAATATCTACATACAAACAGCTGTCCAATGTTATGCACAGTAAGTTATGACATCAGAATTTCCACATGTAAATCCATTTTATAAGTACACTTTTGTAAATAATCATATCTATATTACGACATTCACTGCTATGGCCCCAATAATTGGATCCCACCTGCTGTGTCTGTCATTTTACATCAAAAATGGATTCCAAACATGCTACATTTGAAACAGAAATTGATGAGGATAAGTGTAAAAAAAAAAAACAATCACTGCATATTTAAAATCTTAAAGTTTTGACAAACTACACTTAAACTTTATCTCCATTTGAGGAACACATTACTTACTTACTCATGGAGCTGAGTCCTTCTGGAGGAGCCGACAATTCTGCAGCTACTCGAGAATTTCCCAGCATTTTATGTAACCCGAAGGTTCATTACTGTGTTCACAAGAGCCCTCCACTGGTCCATATCCTGAGCCAAATCAATCCAATCCATACCATCCCATCTCTCTAAGATCCATTTTAATATTGTCCACCCACCTATGCCTTGGTCTTCCCAGTGGTCTCTTTCCTTCTGGCTTTCCCACCAATATCCTATATGCATTCGTCTCCCCCGTTCGTGCTACATGCCCTGACCATCTCATCCTCCTTGACTTGATCATTCTAATTATACTTGGAGAAGAGTAAAAGTCATGAAGCTCCTCACTGTGCAGTTTTATTTGAGGAACACATACAAGAGAAAATGTCATACACATACACAGTGGCAACTGTATGTCGCTTGACAGGATAAGCACTAGCATGCAATAAACTGCAGTCCAACACGTGACAGGAATGACAGTGAAAGTATAAGAGATAAGATAATCTGTCATGCTTATTTTCATTCAGTTTGTAACCGTACGCATCCTTCACGGAGGTGTCTTATTTGTTTGTGCATAGCGATTGGGTTTGGCTGTGGAAATGAGATGCCCCGGAGGGATCAAGGTCTTCTGAACTGGCCTTTTGTTGCGAGGGACAGAAAGGAGGTTGGTGAGTCCATTGAATTTGGGGGGGGTAGGTATCCCTTCTGTTGTCCTTGCCTGCGGAGGTGTAGGACCTGTGGATAGAAGCTTCGAGAAAGCGTGGAGACCGGAAGGGGTCCTTGCGCTTGGTCTTGTAGCCCGCCAGGTGGAAGGTTCAAGATTGCGGTAAGAACGTGGTTTCGAAAAGCAGCAGCGGGGGTAATGGGGTAGTGAGGGAGTAGAAGCCAGGGAGTGAGGGTGTTCATGTGGAACCTGTGCTGAGGGATTAACCGATCGAGCCTGCATCCGAAACGACGTAAGCGAGCCAACACCCGTGTACCCCTGGGATACAAGACTCATACCGCTGAATTTAGCCGAGGCACTACACAGTGAGGAAGTAAAGCGTGTGGGGGCGGGTGTAAGTTATAACATATATAACAGTACAAATATTTTCAAACTCCAAAAACGAATGGTTAGAACAAAAATGGAAGCAAGACCCAAGGATTCTTGCAGAAAACTTTTTAAAATTTTAAATATAGTACCTCTAGCATCCCAATACATATTCTCCTAGGTTCTGCTTATGGTTACCAATAAATCATTGTTTACACAAAATCCTGAAATTTATAATTTTATTACCAGGAATAATTCTAATTTTTTTTCAAGTAACAACTCACTTGACGATGTTTCATAAAAGTCCTGCCTATGCAGGCGTTAAGATATATAACCATCTCCCAGCTTATATTAAGGACTTGGCATGTGATATTAAAAGCTTTAAAAAAGCATTAAAATTATTTGTACGAACATTCTTTTTATACTGTGGATGAATTCTTTATGCATAAAACTAGATAAATATTTCTGGTGGTAATAGTGACATCATTGTATCAGTATTTACAGTGTTCAATTATTTTTATTTTTCTTCAACAAAATCTTTTAATGATTGCATGTCTTATTTTTAATATTATTGTACTGTCTTGTATTTGTTTTTGACTTTTCTATATCCAATGGTTGTACCAGTATGGATCAACAGAAAAAATAAATAAATAAATAAAAACGTATGTTTTACTGTATACAAAGAAATTACATCAATTTCTATATCCATACATACACTAAAACAATCATGACATTTTAAGATCATTCAAAATATTACATTCATACTTTCTCATTCCTGAGACAGTGTCGACCCCGGGCAAGACAGTACTTGTGGAACAAAAGCCGAGAAGGAAACTCTTCATTACTTTCAAGCTTCAGTAACACAGTGATGTTCTCAGCTGCCATCAGTAACTTACACTCTGCCATACCACAAGTACACCATTCCAACAGGTGACACAGACCTGCAAAAGCAATCAGTGAAACATTTTACAGTGATATATAGGGAACCAAATGTAATACATAACCTTAAAGTTTCACATCATTACTATATTTGAATTGTTCAACAAAGAAAGAAAGAAACAAACAAACAAACAAAGAAGGTTTGAAATTTGAGATTTTCAGTGTGGTGACTATGAAGAATCTGATCTGATGATGCGTAGTCTGGTAGAACTTACCAAGTGTTTCAGAGGAATATGCTGCCTCCACCTTCAGGGTCAAGGAGCAATCCAAGCGAGCAGAGTAACACTGCTCGCTGTTTGGCTTACTTCTTAATCCTGAAGTCAGAGACAGTACAAAGTGTTTTCTCATCAGTCATGCATTCTGGATTTTCTATCATCCATGATTACATGTTCACCACAAATGAAAATCTTCATAAGGTACAAGATTTTCATGCAGAGGCACAGCTGCAGGACTAACCAATTCCTTTGAGAAGCTTATGAAGTGCTAGAACTAAAAGTGTTTTAAAATACGGAAAGTATGATGAGAAACAAGATTTAGTTCACTATTTAAAGCCTTGTTTTCCATTTGCCTTATACAGGACAGGCCGAAAGTCATGTCTCATAGGAAATTTAATTAATACATGGAAAATCATAATAAAAGTTTGAACATATGATGGTTTCTACTAACTCATAATAAATGTTCTTACAGAATTCTAGACCAACAGATTGATGTTAAGCACCTTATTTTCCATACATAAATAACAACTGTATTCCTTTTCCATATAATAACGTTGCCACCATAATTTATCCTGTAAAGAAGGCATTATTTCAGTAAAAATATTGTGACATGTGTGCAATGGAGGACAACCCCTCCCTCACCCAGCAGTGACGTGGCAGCTCTGGCCACGATGACGTAGCTCCCACCGGGCTACGTGGCACCACTTCCTACTGTGACGAGGCACGCAACGCCGGTGTCAACACAGCATCAGGCAACAGCGGTACCCATTACGTAACAGGCAGACACTGCGAATATAAAAGGGAACTACACAGCCGCCGAAGGCAGTTAAAGTGTATCAGCGGCCGTAGACAGTTCTCCAGTCAGCAGTGAACGAGTTAAAAGCGTATCAGCCATCGAAGTGAATTCTCGAGTTCTCTAGTTACGAGTCAGTCACCAGTTAATTGCAGTACAGTATTTGTGATACTGCCAATGGCAGTAATGTTGAGCTTGTAAATTGTGTGATTGTAAGAGCGAATGTGAAATAAAATTCACTATATCCAGTAAGGCGTGAAGTTATTTGTTGCGTTATACACCCAACACGTGACAATATTAATCCAATAAGAAAACTATTAGTAAAAACATTTTAAAAATCAATTACAATCCTACAAGAACTAGTGCATATGAATTCCTATATGTGCAACTTTCAGGCCATCCTGTAAATTACAGACTAACTATAAAAGCAGTCTGCTAAAATGCACAATGCAGAACAAGAAGCCAAACTGAATACAACTCAACTATTCATATGAATGCTGTCACAGCTACTGGAATGATGCTGTCCCAAAAGAGTACACCACAGACCACATTATAGCGCATTCCAGCAGATTAGTTGCATAAGTTCTGCAGGACAGTACTCACCAAGAAGCATTGCTTCCTTGTTGTTCAGGATTTCTGCATACTTAATATAAAGACACCATGTCCTCATTTTCTGTGTAACATAGCCATACAGTTGATACAGAGAAGCTGCCACTTCTATGTTGGGTAGCGGGTCCACCCTCTCAGTAACAGTGCTGAACCCCTGTAGTAACAACTCTATGAAATTTGGTCTTGACAAGAATCTACAACACCCATGTTACTTCAAACGTTTCAATCTATATGAGGCTGTACTTTGTCTGAAACATCTTTGAGCATGCATCATCAAAATCTGAAAGTGACATAAATCATTATGTCATCATTAGAAATTTGATTAAGTCATTGGATTTTTTTCAATTGACTGAATCCTTTTGGCCGCACTAGCCCTGGGGTTTACTCAGCCTCTAACAGAAATGAGTACCAGGAGTTAATTAAATAATTTTCCTGGGGAGTGAAGCGCGGCCGGCGCGTAAAGCTGACAACCTTACCGCCACCTTTGAGCCGATTGTCAAGGTAATGTGGGACCCTTAACGTCTCACAACCCTATGGGCCTTCACGGCCTGTTACAGGGATAGCTTTACTTTTTACTCTTTTTTTTATACTTTCAACATAGAGTGGTACCAGATTTGCCACACCAGAGTTCTCGTTAAACATACAGGACTTTTCTTCCAAAAGATTACCTACTCCAGATGTGATATACCCTCAAAGATGTTTTAGGAAATCTGTTAACAGGATAAATTTAGATTCAAATTGTGTTATGTTGGTATGACTGATTTGAAGTAAGTAGTGCTACGCTCTGTGAGTTAGCATACTGTAGTGAAATAAACAGTCACGTAGTAGCCAGGTAGTGTCCGAGTTTGTTTACTTGATACCTCTTCATAAAAGACAAAGAAACAAAGTTTCACAACATAATAAATTAACAAAATCCCTCTATATAAAAAGCCTAAGGCTTGTTCGAATGTCTGAAAAGTAGGATCAATTCAAGTGGGACCTACTGTTAGTTCCTCGGAACTCTAGCAATGGTAGAGGGGTCATACCATCTCTCGCGGGGCTAGAGGAGCAGTGTTATCAGCTTACGTCAGCATGGGTACTACCAGTTTGGAATGTAGCATCTTGGAGTGTGGTCAGTTGTGTAGTACTACTACTGGTCTCCATAGGCAATGTTTTCCGCTCAGGGAGTAGCTCTGAACGTCACCACAGAAAGTGTATAGCTTTGCGTGCTCCAGAACAGCATTTACCATTCGCACGGCTAAAGTTACAAGGCACTAACTATAAATGGATATGGAATATGCTATGGTACTGACCAAGCATTCTCTTAGAAAGAATGAGAAAAAGCACTAAATAATAAAATCAGGATATCTGATATATGAGCCCTAAACTAAACCGGGACTCCTTGACAATTAAGCACAAAGGCTATCAACTGAATTTCATCATTTGGTAGATCTCAACATGTATGTGCACGAATAGCAATGATTCAGATAAAATATGGTGATCTCACATAAAGCACAAAATACATTTTCCAAAATGTATGATTTGAGATTCTCACAGTGGTTATTATAAAGAGCTCCATCTCCTGGGATATAACAATGTGCAGTCCGTTGAATATCAATGGCATTACATCCCGGAAGATAGAATTCTTCAATTTCTAAAATATAATGATATTAACCATAAGGACTCCATAGTTTCACACCCCAGAAGGGCATTATCTGTAGCAATTCCATCTCTGTATGTCCAATACATCATTTAACTTACATTCTGAAGTGCATTGGTCCAGCAGGTTACAGCTTTGTTCAGGGTTTCAAGTGTCTTTGACTCATTTTCAAGAGAGAGGTTCCTATATGCTGGTGTTACGTCACATGTCTCTAGGGGATCGTGATTGTCTTGTTGCTGGGACTGCATCTTGGTTGGAATTATATTGGAGCTCAAAATCTCTTCCTAAAGCCAAAATATTTCACAATCAGTTCAACCAAAACTGACTGCTCAACATCTCAAAGAAGTTAATGATATCGTAACTAGCAGTAAAGAACATGCTGGAACAAGTTCACAGTCCAATTTCATCAGGACACAGTTCACTACTTAAAAAATATAACAATAATAATAATTAAAAAGAGAAAAAGATCACAAAACTAGATAGATTTCTATCTGAAGAAAGAATTTTTACACTAAAATAACTTATCTGTATATATACAGCAATGGTTTTCACTTTTTTTTAACTGTACTCCATTTTTTGGAAAGACTAGACTAAGCAGCTGATCACAGTGGCCGCACAGTCTAAGGCATGAAACGTCTTTGGCCACACAAACACTGGGATTGTGGGTTCAAATCCCATTCAAGGCATGGATATCTGTCTGTGTTTGTTCTGTCCTGTGTAGGTAGCAACCTTGCGACAGACTGATCCCCCATCCAAGGAGTTCTATCAACTGTCTAAGATTAAGAAACTGAAGTGAAACAAAGCACTTCACGGATGCCCTGTGCTCCAAGCAGGAGCAACAGGAATACAGACAGACAGAAAGATAGACTAAGCATCCTAGTGACAGAAATGTGATTGCTGAATTTGAAGCATAGTAAGTCTTAACTGGTGTATCATTATCTTTACCTTTACTTCTGTGTTTTAACTTTAATTGGTGACATTTTAGAGACTGGGGATCATAAGCATTTTTCACAGGGAAACTTAACATGCATACCTAATACTGATAAATTTCTTTGAAATGGTTAATAAGCACCCTACCTCTTGCTTTGATCGTGTGACTTTTAGCTGACATAAGAAAAGCCAGTAGTATAAATTTCCAAGCAAACACAGGTGTTCTTTTTCCCATTTGATATTTTGCTGAAAAAAAAAGCAGAGATAAAAACATGTATAGATTTTGAAAAATATCCCTTTTTTTTCATCTAGCACAACTTATCATGAAACTCGCCATCCACAAAATCCCTAAAAGAATTTTTTAAACAGATTCTACACCAGAAGTATTTACTGAGGTCAGTCAACTAGCCAAAATTTCTAAAATGGAAATTGTATAACAAGTAAAAATGAGAGACCAGAATTTAGTATTCATGCAGTTCTAGCAATTATAAGAAACACGTAGTAGAAACTTCCTATTTTACTTCAGATTGGTAAGAGGATGCCATGAATAACAACATTCCTCTTTATAATAGATAATTTTCTTAAAAGCATATTCTGTAACCTACACTTTCTATTTGCATTGTTTGCAGGATATTCTTTGCTGAGCGTATAGTCTGTGTACATTCATCAGTACTGCCACTTATCCAGAGAGAAGGAAGATATGCCAAGAGCCCTTTAATGTGGATACTGCTGCTTGGTGACAGCTCACAGAACTTGTCATATGCAGCCTGAACACACTGCCAGCTCGAAAAACTACAAGAAATGCAATGGACATGTTTCATAACAATGGTATGACAAACAACATTTTTCGCCAGAATCAACAAAACAATACAACATATTCCAAATGATAACAGGCACTGATATTTACTTCCATATGCAAAAAATGCACAACCACTGATTAAGATAAACATACACCATTCATCATACTGCTTCCATGTCATATAATTTCCTAAACTTTTGCTTAATAAAGGTAAAGCTATCTCTGTAACAAGCCATGGAGGCCCATAGGGTTGTGAGATGTGGAGGCTCCTACATTTTCTAGACAATCTGCTTAGAGAAGGCAGTGAGACTGTCGGTCTTACAGGCTGACTGCCCTTTTCACAGAGGAACATCCTGGTGCTCATTTCTGTTAGAGGCTGAGCCAACCCCAGGGCCTTTACTGTCCAGAAATAGGGGATTTAAATATCCAGCTATTATGATGCTGGCTGCAGATTTTAACTTGTAATGGTACTGTATTTATCTTGGAAATAATGTGAAGATATACCCGCTGGATTAGCACATGCGAAGACACTAGCACAATGAATAGATGATGTATGTTAACAGAAATAAAGAGTACACTATTCCTAAGTAACATGTATATACATGTAAATATATGTTTCACCTTGATAAACTGTAGGCTTCCAACTCCAAAATCAACAACTGTTGAAAATTAACTGCTTCAAGGCTAATATCTGGACATAATATTCCAATCTTTCCGTCTTCCTTTAAAATGTCATAAATTGTCAATATCTACATGAAAAAATAAGGAGAAAAAAACATTAAAAGGCACAAAGGGAAATAGAGCTCTCTTTGGCTACTGAAAACTGCCAGTTAGTCCAGCTTTCAGGTTTGGAACAGTTCAAAATAATGTATAGAAATGAATATGTAAAGTTAAACATCCCTTTTCATTTATTGTCCCTTATAGTTCACAGGAGTATTGGAGGCCACAGCAAACTGACAGTTAAGAACATTTTTAGATAAATAATGACAAGAAACAATAAAGTACTGGATGGTTTAACCAACCAATTTCTAAAGAGCAGCATTTTGTATTACTGATAATAATTCAGGAGAAATGAAGCTCCTCATTATGCAGTTTTCTCCAACCTCTTGTCACTTTATCCCTCTTCAGTCCAAATATTCTCCTCAACAACCTGTTCTCATACACTCTCAGTCTATGTTCCTCCCTTAATGATCAAGTCTAGGTGGATGAGATGGGCAGGGCATGCAGCATGAATGGGGGTGAAGAGGAATGCATATAGCATATTGGTGGGAAAGCCAGATGGAAAGAGGATACTGGGAATACCAAGGCACAGGTATGTGGACTACATTCAAATGGATCTTAGAGAGATAGGATGGGATGGTATGGATTGGATTGACCTAAATCAGGATAGGGACCGCTGGAGGGCTCTTGTGAACACGGTAATGAACCTTTGGGTTCCATAAAATGCTGGGGAGTTCTTGAGTAGCTGCAAAATTGTCAGCTTCTTAAGAAGGGCTCAGCTCCATGAATGAGTAAGTGACAATAACTCAGGGTGATAACTCCTTTCAGTTGCCCCAAGTACTCAATTCGTTCAGCGATATTTTTTGCAGACTAAGCCAAAGCATAGACTTTCTGCTATTTACTAATCTGTGCTTGTTTTCCACATATCCTGAGGAGCGGACCCCCCTTTTTGATATTCATGCGACTTTTACTGGATTTCCTTTCCATAGGACATGTGCCACTTTACACTACAGCATTGGGTGTTTTTAGGTGAATCTTAAATGAAGTGCACCAAATGTATTACTGAAATATTGATTTTGGATTAACAAATTATAAAAAAGTAATTCTGTCCAAGTAATAGCATTTACAAACCTGAACATCCTTACAATTCTCAGTAAGTGCATAGTTCTTAATTTTTGCCCACTGTTGCACAAATTTTTCCTTGAAATCTGGTAAAATAACCATACCAATGGCTGCAATCCGCAGGGCTCCTCGATACTTTTTCAGATCTCTGTAAATCTGCATCAAGTATGTCATTACTCTGTCTAGTATTCCATTCTCAACCTATAACAATTACAATAAAAATAAATGTGTTGTATCATCAATATAGTTGATGTATTTCCGTTCATTCATTTATTTTCCATAAATCCATTCCGAAAACAATTTCATAGGATGTGGAAACAGTCACAAATAAAGCAGTACAACTACATATAGTCATACACATCAGAAAGTACATAATAAAGTAAGCATCAACATGCACATTATTTAATATAACTAAAACAATTCTTAAGTTATTGTAGTATGAACATAATAGTACTCTAGTAAGAGAAACCTAGTAAATGACAACAAAGCAATAACTACAAATACACTCCATCAAATATATGTACATACATGTAAAATTATCGCAATATAACAATATAATCAATAATACTCAATTTTTGCAGATATAATACAACCATCTTTTAAAGGATTCCTGTAATGTATAGAAAAAATTGGAATACAGAAAGTCCTTTAAATTAACTTTAAACTATTTTGGATTATTAAGAGATTCTTTTAAGGTTATAAGGAAGTCAATTAAAAACCTTTACTGTTATGTGATTTACTCCTATACCATATATGGCCAGGTTAACCTGGTATATATGTAAATTAATATTTTGTTTGGTTTCTACTTCAGAATAATCCTTATTTGTAACAAATTTATCTCTCTTTTTTATTACAAACATCATTAGTGAATATATATACTGTGATTTTAAAGGCAGTATATGTATTTCCTTGAAGAGATCTCTACATGATTCCCTGTAACCACGACCCACCATCAATTGTATAACTCTTTTCTGCATCTTAAAAACCGTTTTGGCATGTGACGAGTTTCCCCAGTGAATCAAGCCATAAGTCCTGATTGAATGGAAGTAAGAATAATAAGTAATTTTCAAGGTATTTAAAGACATAAGTGGTTTTATGTTCCTTATCATGTAGCAGGCTGAGCTTAATTTATTTGTAACCTCTTCAATATGTCTTTCCCAAGTCAAGGAGCTTTCAATAGTCAAGCCAAGAAATTTAGCGTCATAAGAGCTCATAATGCATGTACCTACATTTCCTATAGCCCTCTCAACCAACATATTGTTTTTTTCGGTGAAACTGATGCAATGTGTTTTCACTGTATTTAATGACAATAAGTTCTTTTTAAACCAAACATCAAGTATCCCATAAACTTCATTTAGTGTATTTTTTAAACTGTAAAGGATTAGCATGTGAAATCAAGACACTAGCATCATCAGCAAATAAACTAGGGACACTACTTGACTCCAAAATCTTAGGTAAGTCATCTATATATATTATAAACAACAGTGGTCCCAGCACTGAACCTTGTGGAACCCCGTTTGTTACTTTAACCCATTCAGAGAGTACTTTTTTATTGTCTAGTCCATTTAAAATTGATGTTCTCTGAAATCTGCCTTGTAAATAAGACTTATAAAGATTATATTATCATTTATTCCATAATACTTTAATTTATCCAATAATACTTCATGACTAACACAATCGAATGCTTTTGCCAAGTCACAAAAAAATGCCACCAACTAATGTTTTATGATTTAGTGACTTCAACATTCCACAGATTAATCTAAAAATAGCATTGTCAGTCCCAAGATTCGACCTAAATCCAAACTGGTGGTATTACTTAAGATGTTATTCTTATTAAGATGCTTTATCAATCTACTATATATTATTTTCTCAAATATTTTATTAAAAGAGGTCAAAATAGAAATAAGTCTGTAATTAGAAGTAATATTCCTGTCACCTCTTTTGTACACTGGTACAATCATGGCATATCTTAGCCTTTCTGGAAATACACCTTCAAACAAAACTCTGTTGCACAGATAACTTAATGGAGCACTAATGAAAGTTTTATAAGCTTTTAGTATATTATTAGAAATTTCATCATATCCATGAGTATGGCTTAGTTTAAGAGACTCTATTATCCTTTGTATTTTAAAACTCATAGTTTTCCTAATTTGAATTTTAGGAAATGGACTACCAAAAGCATATCAGTTTCACATATTCAGCATATTATTTAACAAAGGATAGCCATGACAAATGGAAACAGGCATGTTAATCACCAATCCTTACACGCAAAAAAGATTGCTGTATGAGCTGAATCCACTCCACTATGGATAGTACACTGAGGCTATGAAACAATTGATCAGGAAAGAAAATTCTTCAGTTTGCTTCTGACCTGTTCGGGCAATCAGTATGGTCTTCAGTTTACAGTTTGTAGAAAAGTTCCTTGTATGAAAAAAAAATCAGAACTGTGTACAATAAGACCTAATTAACTTTGTTGCACTGCAGATATAACATAGATCAGTTACGCTAAAATAAATAATGCTTATTTCAAAGGTGAGGATGGAAGCAGCCTTGGTTCATAGCATTCTTTTTAATTTTTTTTATTCGCTTAGTGGGGGGTGGAGTCCAGCTGGGTCCACTCGGCACGGCGGCCACTGATTGGCTTATTGTAGCCTGCCCCGTGTGATTATGATGATGGAGAATTTGGTGGAATAAAGGTTGACAGGGGAAACCAAAGTACGCAGAGAAAACCCGCCCCAGCACCACTTTGTCCACCACAAATCCCACTTGACCAGACCCGGGATCGAACCCAGGCCGCCACGGTGGGAAGCCAGCGACTAACCACTTGAGCTATGGGGCGGCCTTTCATATCCTTTCTAACAGTAGTCTGTTACACAGCCTCTCAGGCCTAGCCCTTACATACATACAAACACAGCCTCTCACAACTTAACTGCTTTCAGAGATTTGATACATAAATATCTATTATTTTTAATGTTTCAATATAGCGCCATATTACACAAATAGTCACTTTTTAAAATTGTAAGTTTATATAAAGAATGTGGAATCAGCTCCATTTCTGCCATATACTGAACATAAAGCTATTTTCACAGTGAAATAAGGCACTGACTTCACTGAGATGTGTAATTCACAAAGTTGCAGCAAATTTGACTTATCCTAAAATTCTACAACCAATCATACACCATAAAAACTGGCATAAAATTATAACATTAAATGTATAAAAAATAATGTTCTGATCAGAGACATAAAATAGACAAAACCATTACCAAACATAAGAACCACTCAACTATCTGCATACAGTACTAGGAATTAAATGATAATATTAAGTGTGTTATGACACCAATCAGACTTACAAACCTAAATTAAATACATTTAGGACTCTGAATTGGATTTATTAAAATAAACTACCACAATAAAAGATTTCACTTATGAGGGAAAACTGGAATAATAAAGGAGCAAAAAAATATTTTAATATTACATTTTGTTCCAAACATTAAAAAAAAACAATCAAACCTCAGGTGATGCAGGTTGCTCTCCCAACTGAATACATGTCCAGCAGAACTTTGAAAAAACCTCCTTGGCTTCATATATTAATTCAGCTGAATTACAGTGAACACCCAAATTGTACATCTTTATCCCTAAAATGGAGATATGGAAATAAAAAACTTTCAAAGTGTTACATGAATAATCATAATTCAATTTTACTCTGCATAGCCATCACACAAAGTTAATTCCATAAATATTGAATATTCAGTAACATGTGTCAGCCTGTTTCAACCATCATCAGATACAGAATATCATACACAACACTACTGTATACATATAATTAATTTTTTTATACATTAATAACATTACCCATCATTTACTAATCAGAGCAAAGTTTAACAAGTTCTGATCCGTCTTGTAAACAGTGACAAGTATGGAGTGCATAATATATGAAATTACAAAAATGATGAAAGATTAAAAACAAGTTACAATACATGGACATTAGTAAGATACAGCAAGTTATAAATGGTACACATGCCAGTAAACTGTAAAGCAGAGATAGTTCTTGTAATAAAATACATGGTTCAAACCATTTTTATGGGTGATCTTCATAAAATGTCCCCAGTACAATACATGAACAAGACACATCAATATAAGATAATCCAATTTATTGATAAAGTAAATATAAACAGCTTAATTCTTTACAATCATTCACCCATGGAGCCTTTCTTGGGAAGCTTCCAATTGTGCAGCTACTCAAGAACTTCCCAGCATTTTATGCAACCTGAAGGTTCATTGATGTGTTCACAAGGGCTCTTAATCAGTCCCTATCCTGAGCCAGATCAATCCAATCCATACCATCCCATCCCTCTGAGATACATTTTAATATTGTCCACCCACCTACACCTTTGTCTTCCCAGTGGTCTCCTTCCTTCCAGCTTTCCCACCAATCTCCCATACGCATTTCTCCCCATTTCTTTACAGTTATAAGCAGAATCTTAACTGTAACCTCTACAATTTAGCAGAATCTCCCATTCTCAGCCCCAAGAAGAGAATTATTGTTCAGTTGAAAAATGTAGGGGCATACATTATTTCAAGGTGTTGGTTCAAATCCTACTAAAGTATGTTGTCATCATTGTTTTATAGAGACTGACAGAAAACCACAACAACTCTCACCCTACATAAAAAAAACACACACACACCTGATGACAGAACTCTATACATTCAGTGCCTCAAACTTTATGAACAAAATTTACGGTAAACAAAATTCAAAACACTCACCAAGCCTCTTCCAGACATATTTCCACATAGGACAGTCTGCTTGTTTGAGTACCTTTATTCTTGCAATGGCTTCATTCAAAGCAGTTTTTGCATCAAATAACAGCTTTGCAAATCCCTCTGACTTATTGACAACTGATGACATCACACAGCTAATCACGATGGTAAGAAGATTTACTGAAGATACTGTGTCATTATTAACAGGACAATCTTCACCAGAAGGCAGTGTGCACTTCACACATTGGCTTGTCAGAAGCAGCTAGAATAAGAAAGGATTGTAGGTCTAAGCACAATAAGTCTCCATAATAAAAAATATTGCATGATCTATGAAATAGACCGATCAAGCTCCATTATTCCTGAGATGTTAAAATGCTTCTTTCAGAAAGGGTTTAGTACTTCAAATTGGTGGATAAAGTGGTATTGGAGCAGGTTTTCTCCAAGTATTTTTGTTTCTCCTGTTGATTTCCATTCCAACTGCTCCGCTCATTATTATTTATCATCCGGTGTTGGTGAAATAGGCCAGATAGCGGCTGATGTACCACTTGGACATGGTCTCACCCAACCCCAAGAAATTAAATAAAAAATAAAATTAAGTATTTTGGATTGTGGTCTTCTGGGTTGAGACACCGTGTAGTCTTGTAGGTGGATACTGATGCTTCGGTGGAACACAGTGCCACCATTCGTATGGGTGAAGTGTAGGGAAAGGAATCAGTTGGGTTGTACTAGGAGGCTGCAAGGATGGTGACCACTCAGACCTACAGAAGAGGGAGAGGATGTGGAGCCAGTTCCACAATAGAAACAGTGAGCAGGAACAGACATCTTTCAGAGCCACAATTTTGTTCCCTTTCACTCTCCCACTGGTCTTGTGTAATTACCTTCCTTACAGTCTGACAATACAACCAGAGTGATACCTCACACTTCAATCCTGAAGATGAAGGAAGCTAAAACTGAAGCTATCCCCGTAAGAGGCTGTGAAGGCCCACACAGTTGTGTGACATCAAGGCTCTCACATTCTCTAGACAACCAGCTCACTTATGGTGGTAAAGTTGTCAGCTTTATGCACCAGCTGCCATTTTACACCCCAGGAAGAATCCTGGTGCTCAGTCCCCTTAGAGACTGAGTTGACCCCAGGTCAATTGAAAAATCCAATCACCTCATTGGGATTCGAACCCATGACCTTCTGGCTTGAGCAGTACCTCAATCAACTACACTACCACATGCCCCAGATGGTGGCAACACATTCCTCTAAAATGTTATCCACCTACAAATCTACACCGCCTCACAACCCAGAACACCTCAAACAGAATAATCACTAGGGTGAAAAACATCACAACTTATACAGGGTAAATACTGTTGTAGTTCAATTAGAAAATTCTATGTCTATCTACCAACTTCATATAATTCCTGAATAGTGTATGCAAAATATTATTTACAGAGAACAAAGATGTTTTTGGCAAGAGAACTGCAAATACATATGATCTCCTAATTTCAGGCACCTGAATTTGTTTTTTTTAATTTGAGATTCATAAATTATTGTCTGAATGGAGATCAACATATTTTTTTCTTGATTTGGTATTGAAAACTCAACATTCATGCATGTCTTCAAGTTTAGACTGCCAGCAAAACATATCGCAGCTGTTTCACCCGCAAAACATTTATCATGCTGTTTGATTACCAACACTTACCTCAGAAAGGGAGGATATGAAATGAATGAAAGCTTTCTGTACATTAAGAGACATGTACTGATTCCACTCCTCAGCACACTGTGAAGTCCAGTACAAACTCACACTGTGCAGCACGTGAGCTATCGTTACACATGTCCAACTCAGGATCTTGCTGTTCCTGTATTTAAGCACCAAAGATTCAAAGACTATGGTGCAAGCTTCCAATTTGTTTGCAAAATTAAGTGGTCTTTCAAAAAGTAGATGAAGAACATCTTGAAGGAATGTGCTACAATTGTTACTAACTTCATCATTTCTGGTCCATGTAACAATACACTCAACAGTTTTATTCACAACATCCTTTGCTTTTATAAGCAGTTTTGCATCAAACAAACTTTTCAATATGGAAGATAAAAGAGATATGTATGACTTGTATATACTCTCATTGCCTATCTTCATACATCTCTCAGGTGTTTTACAGTACGTCAATTCCAAAATGTCAATCTGTAACTGAACAATTTGTAGATGATGTTTATCATCTGTCAATTTTATACCATGAACAAAATTTGTAGCTCTATCCAGAATATGTAACAAGTATTTTCCCATGCAGCATTTCAGAAACTTCACAGAATGTATCAAGATGTTAAATACCACTGATAAGTCTGCTTTTTCTTCCATGTACTGCTGTGTCTTAGCAGCAACTACACGATGAAAGAGATAATGGTAGTTGCAATATACATTACAGACTTCTTCATCATTCACTTCACATCTTGTCATAAAGACAAAACTGCTTAACTTTAAAGCTGTTTCTATGCTGCCCTGAAAGGAAGGAAAAATTGGTGAAATAAAGAGTGGGAAGTTGCAGAAATACAGTGTCCAAACAGGCATTCATAACTACAATTAAATTTATTAGATTTCTTAAAGAAAATTTGACATCATTTGTGTTTTCTATATTAACTGCTTTGCAATGAACAATTAAACTCTTAATGTATTCAGGTAAAACCTACTAGTTCCTACTTTACCTAATGTCACCATATGGTGAACATATACTAGCAAGCAATACCTTGTAATAATCTCTAAATGTATGAGGAAAAGGCAATACTGAATGTGTTTTATGATAAACAGTGTCAGCATTTGTGGCCAGAAATTTTTTTTATATACAGTAAAATGATTAATAATAACCTGTCATTACCTTATTAACAAGGTACTTGATTATATGATATAAACTGCACAAAAACTTATATTTGTCAGTAGTGAGATTCTCAACATCAAGAGTCTTGCAACACATGCAACACAGCTGGTAAATATCTTCTGCTGTTAGATCTACATTGTCTCCATTTGTTATTACACTGGAAACTCCACAAAGCAAGAAAAGTGCTAATTTTTCTCGGTATTCTTCATCTTTCAAACTTCCCTGAAAGAAATGTTCATTTTATTAAAACACATTAAAACAGAATTTCGAGCAGAATGACCCAAAGACTTCCACGCTCCCATTTGCATGCATCCTCTTAATATAAATGCTTATATTAAAATAAGTGTGAAACTGTGTCGTAAAAGGTGGAGCATGTCATCATTAAATCTACTAACAATGCAATTGCCACAATTATTGAAAACATAATAGAAAGTTTGAATGATAAAATAAAATGCAACTGTGTACTATTAGACTTATCAAAAGCCTTTGACTGTATTCAACATAACATTATCATGGATAAATTATACATATATGGAGTCCGTGGTATAGCACATAAGCTAATCAAATCCTATCTCAGAAACAGAACTCAACACGTAAAAGTAACACACACAGAAGGCAATCGTATGAAAGAATATTTGTCAAGTAGCCTCCCAGTGAGATACGGAGTCCCCCGTGGATCGGTCCTTGGCCCATTACCCTTCATCTTGTATATAAACGATATCCCACATCTAACACAAGGCAGAGCAATACTGTATGCTGATGACACATCAATACTGAATGCAGGACAAGATATGAATGAGCTCCAAAACATGACTTGAAATAATATAGGAGTGGTAGAGCAATACTTTGAGACAAATAATTTATTTATAAATCAATCTAAAACTTACTATATTCTCTTCCAGACGAAACAATGCAGGCAGGAAAGTAATCTAAAAATCCTAATAAAGAACAGGGAAATATCAAATGTAAAAAGCACAAATTTCCTGCAGGTAGTAATAGATAGTACCTTGAGCTGGGAATTACATATTGAAAAAACTGCAGTAGAATTAGCCGTAACCTGTTCATAATCAACAGGCTATCTAAAATACTTGATTTAAATGAAAGAAGAATGTTGTATTACAGTTTGATCTATCCTCATCTATCTTATGGAATAATAGTATGGGGACATGGTGCTAAGACCCTCACTCAAAGAATTTTTGTACTCCAAAAAAAGGGCAGTAAGATACATTGCAGGGCTAAAACATCTGGAATCATGCAGGGATAGCTTTAGAAATCTAAAGATACTAACAGTATGCTCGCTATATATACAAGAAACAAAAAAAAAGTGTAACTGCACAGTGAATGAACAAATACATACATATAACACAAGAAATAATAAAGACTATCATATACATGGGCACAATTTAGAACTTTATAATAGTAATCCTTCAGTAGCTGGCTGTATCTTTTACAAATTGCCTAACAACATAAAAGAAATAGAAAACAAAAATCAGTTCACAAGGGAATTGATGAAGTTACTTATTCAGAGGTGCAATTACTCAACGGAGGATTATTTGAATGATGAATTCTCAAATATTAGCTACTGATATAAGCAGAAATATATAGTATATAGTGTATAAAATGTTGTATATCTTATATAATTTTTTAGTATTAAGATTGTTGTAATTTAATAATGTATATTAGCTGAAAGGCTTGTCCTATATCATTGTATCATGATCTACAGCAGGGGTCTCCAAACTT